ACTTATTATTTATTTATTATTACTACTATTATTATTATTATTATTATTATTATTATTATTATTATTATTATTATTATTATTATTATTATTATTATTATTATTATTATTATTATTATTATTATTATTATTATTATTATTATTATTATTATTATTATTATTATTATTATTATTATTATTGTTATCATTAATTATTATTATTATTTTATTATTATTTTCACCGTTATTATTATTATTATCACTGTTTTTTATCAATTTCCGTGGTATTAATGCCCTCGTTACTAATTATTGCTGATATGATTTGCAGAATGTCATGACGCAGAAATTGTTTTAACAACTACGTTGGCATGTCGCTATTGTGCATTACCAGTAAGTTTATATCATTATCGTTATCATGCATTACGTGTGCCAAAATACTGCAACCACTTTTTATCAATAGAATTAACTCGGATTTGTAAAATTATCGATTATTATTCCAACTTTTAAGAATATTAAAAACCATAAAAATACATAATAATGTGACAAAAAATGCAACACAATACCACGTATATGTATAGTAACAATAATAATAAATAATAGCAGTAATGTCAGGTTAACAGATAAGAAATAGAAGGGTGAATTAATAAGTAGTATTAACAATAATATCTGTAATAGTAAAACTAAATGTTTCAGTCAGGAAAGCTCGACTTCAAGGATCGCAAGGTTGGCAAAATGGATTTATTTTCTGTTTCCTAATATTACACTTATATTTATTATTACTTCTTAGTATTTATTTAAAATTTAACTTTTATATTTTGAAATTTCATCTAATTTTTCCTGACAAACCTGATAAACTTCAATTTTAACTCTAAGATTTTTTTTTTACTCTTAAATTACAAATCAATATGATGCATTCATCATTTGTTTCAATTAATAAGAATAACATCGTTATTATTAAATTCCATTTTCTAATCCTCTCAAAAAATAACCGCAGTCATTTCCTATTTAACCGAGGGTATCATCGAAATATTAGATCAGGTTTAGGTTTTGTTTTATTGCTAATTTGTGAGATATTCAGAAGAATTTTTAAGTAAGAGGTGTAAGATGAATAGAAAATATCGCAATAAAATTATCAATGTATTTTGTAGGAAGTACAGTATGCATGCTGTAATAAGAGTTTTAATTTTATCGAAATTGTCAAAAATGATAAATATTCCAGCTAGCCTAAAAATCTGAATAACAAACATTCGTTTCTATACAACAGTTGTTCCTTCTTTTCATATACGATTATCGTATCCTCTTGATACTTATAAATAGTTATAACTAATTATTCAATTTTAAAATTTATCAAATTTCCATCTGTTGAATGGAATTTTACATATGATGACAACATCAGATAAGAATCATGAATAGAAACATTGAAAAAGATTTAATTTCCAAAAACTTCCAAAGAATGTTTGGCTGAAGCTTGTCCATCATTGACCACGAAGTATACAGTGCATTGTGGTAATATATAGCATCCTGTACCAGGTGACATCTTGCATTAACGAATCCATAAATCTTACAAATTTAATCAATATCAATATGTTCACAATAAGCACATATAAATATAAATAAATTAAATAAATAAATAAATAAATAAATATATATATATATATATTTATTTATTCATTTATTTATTTATTTACTTATTTATTTATTTATTTATTTGTTTATTTATAAGACTTATTATAAGATCCGATCATAATTCTTGAAGTTCATTTTTTTGGCTAAAGTTGTCACAATTCGTAAAAAAAACAAATGTGCTTCATTAAGCATCAGTAAAATTTGTTTTCCAAAAAAATCTTAAGGAAAAGAAATGTTGAAAATGAAAATCCAATAAATTTCAACGCAAAAAAGATTGATTGGCAATAATATCGTAAATGTCATGGATGAAAATTCTAAAAACGACAAAATTTATGCTTTCCTTGCATACAATGTATTGAAAATCGTGTATTTTTACATATATTAGTTAAAAATTATTAATTTATTAATTTATTAGTAATGGTGGAGATATTAAAAGTATTGGAAGAACGTTAACGAAATATTTATCATTTCAAAGATGATTATAAAAATCTTCAGACACTTTAATTGATAAATTTCTTTCCAATTTCATCAATAATAATTAAAAAATTAATAGCTATGGAAGAAAATGCATCAAATTGTTATTTCGAAAGTAATTTTGTTTTTTTTTTCATAAATTCTTGCATATATTTAAATGAATTTGTCAATTAATATTAATAAAAAATACCAAAAATAATTCTTTTTGTAAACTTCGTTGATTAAACAGATGTTATTTAAATATATTAAAGCATTAAAATTTCTTTTTTTCTTTAAGTAAAAAAATATTTAAATCCTCCTTTATTTCTTGCCTAAGTCAAAATAATTAATTACATTACAAATAAAGATTGAAATAGTTTGTTATACATTAATAAAATGATTTAACGCTTACTCTGGTATGCTAAAATCTAGAAATATAACATCTCGGTGTTTGTATACGAATATTTGACCGTACGGCACTCTGATCCATAATTTCGTTTCAAGTCTTCTAAGATGAATAAATAAATGAAATAAATAATCGATTATCTGTTGTTTATACTCATCCAATGACTTTATTGATGATAAGCTTATCAAAATGTTTCCATAAAGTTTACTGATTAATAATTATATATATATATATATATATATATATGTAGGTGGCAAGAAAGAAAGAAAAAGGGATAATAACATTGGTGATAAATCAATTTACCCATTTGCTTGCAATTATCTTATCAAATCTATCAATCAATTTATCCATTCATCTAACCATTCACCATATTAGAATCTAATTTTACAATCTTCTTCTCTTTTCTGCCTTTTTTTTCCACAATAAAAGTGTTAAATTGTATTTTTAATTGAATAAGGTAGCAAAAATGATATCAAAATTAGCAAACGCACTGATAACAGTTACCAAAAAATATTTTAACCGAATAAGTGTTCGACAATGATTACCAAAAAAAGAAAAAAAATCTTGGCAAATCAAATAAGTTGATAACGATCATTATTTCCCATGGTGCATTATCCAAATATATTGGATAACTTACTGTCATACAACATCTGTACTGATAAAAATTATCATTACCATTGATTTCAAATGTTAACAAACTCGAACTTATAAATAAATTTTTCAACTAGGTAGTCCTGACAACTTTTTTGAAGTTTTCCAATTCTTCTTATTTCTATTTCACATTTATTTTGTTATCATCTTAAAAGTATCTTTGCCGTTTATTTCAAAATGAAATTTGAATAAATTTTTCTTTATTTTTAATTTTTATTTTTGATATTATACCAGTTCTGGTATTTCATTCTTATGAAATACTTCGGAACAAGTATATCTTACCAAATTTCAGAATTTTTGATCGTATTTTTTCCGAAAGTTACCACCATTTTAGGCTAGAAGTGAAGCAAAGGAAGAAATAATCGAAAAATTCTAAAGAAGCTTGGATAAAAAATCTTTTCATTAAAGGAATAAATTAGGCTTAGTTGTTTTTAACAAAAATAAAAAACAAAAAATAAAAATAAAGGAAAAATAAATAAGTAAAGTTTGATATTGCTTCAAATCACTAAAATTATTAACTCAATTTTCCGGTGTTAAGCTTAATTAGATCGAACGAAAGGTTTAATTTTACTAAAGCAATTCGAATTATCAAAACAGTCGTATAAATAATACTGTTTTTTTAAAAAAAAAAAGTATTACAAGCAAAATATGTTTCAAGGAAAATCCCTTTGTCAATTATTTGCTGGAATTTTTAGTTATTAATTAAATTGATCACGATTTTTAAAACATCACTAAAATGAATTGATCAAATAATCAATTAATAATCAATCATTTGTACAATTTCATTCCATTCGCATTCAATTTTTTGCCATTTCATTATCGATTTCTCGCTTTTTTTTTCATTTTCATAATATTTACTTCGACATATTTCAAAATAATTTTGAAATTTTGATAATTCAAGTTTTATTGTGATTGCAGATGAATTCAATTCATATGCTGTGGTAAAATTGCAAAATGTCAAATCGACTACCGTAGCGGTGAAAGGCAATCAACCTTGCTGGGAGCAAGAATTCATCTTGTTTGATCTTTCTGTCCATTCTGATAAATTTAAATAATCTTCTTTGACAACTTTAAACAAGTGACAATTGTCATTATCATTGTGCGTCTAATTAACAAAAACGAAAAGCAGTTATTGTTCACTTTTATCACTTGTTTTTTTGTGCAATTCGAGTGTAATTTTAATCGTTATAGTACTGCTGTTTATTTCTGCTAATCAAGCATATAATGATAATGACAATCAATTCATAGAATATACTATAGCAATGGTTATCATTAACTGTTAGTTAATTAAAATGGTAATCAATTAAAACATTATTGAAATGGAGCCAAATTAGCAGAATAGATTCAATGACTATTATCATTAACTACTGATATAGTTGAAATGACAATTACTGAATTAAAATATTATTTAAAAAATATTAATCAAACGGAATTAAACTGAAAAAGCATTGTTTCAGTGAAACGAATCGTATTGATAATGGCATGTTGCTCGAACTTTGGAATAAGGGTGTCCTTTGGGACAAACTTCTTGGTGAATTGTTTAATTTTTCTTTTTCAAAAACTCTTGATTTCTTCTTTTTTTTTTTTCGCAAAATAATTTTTTCTGCATGCTTGTGGGGATTTTCTTTTTTTCGCATTTCTTTATAATTTCAAATTCATATAAAACATAAAATTTGAATTTTTATAAAATTCGAATTTGAATTACATACTTTTTAAGGCTGATTGAATTCATTTACATAATGACAGCAAATGAAGTGGACAATTAAATTAGTTATATGAAAAGTGAAATCAGATAAGGAAAAAATAGGGGAGTGGAAAAAAGAGATGATGAATTAAAATGTTTGCGGAAAAATTGGTTATATGGGAAAAAGATTAAATATTTCAAACAAATTTAAATTTTAATAAATTTCTAGTATCAAGTGAATTCAAAAAATTTTAGCAAAAAAAACAGCTCAATTTTTGATGTCACCCATTTTCAATTTTAATTAACTGTTTGATTTCACGTGTTTAATCTTCAATAATCGTTGATTTATTTGATTTTAATGACCAATAATAAGTTGTTGACCATTGACCTTGACACATTTTTTCTAGTCAATACTTATTTATTTTTGCCATAGCTAGTAATGTTAGAGCTTATGATTTATTATTTATTTATTTTTTGATTAACTTATTTGTTAATTCATTTGGCAATTATTTATTTTTGAAAATTTCAATTTTTTTAATCATAATTATAGGTGTGCATTATTTGACATTAACATCGGTGCAGTATAGGAATGAAGCAGGACCTGGTAAATGGTTACAAATTGACCAAGAATTGGAAACACGAAATGGTCAAACAGTGGGAACAAGTCGTCCAACTGGACATTCAGTTTTAGTAGACGTGCGTTTCGAACTACCATATGGTTTGTATTAATATAACTTTTTTCATTTTAGTATTTTATTGATTATTACCTTTTACTTATCAAGTATAACGATTAATCTATTACGTTATCATGCTGAATCCGTGACTTTAATTTTGTAATGCATGCAATTTTCAATCTGACAAAAACGCTTATTTACCGAAATTTATTTTAATTGATATATTTCATAATTACGTTTTACCAACATCTATCACTTCCATAATACGAAAAACATTTCATGTAAACCGTAATTGTTGTTATTGCTTAGTTAATTTTGAGATATCTTTAGTTTATAATTGTACCATTTCAAATTTATAATTAACAATTTTCTTTTGGTCATCAATTTTATAAATTTCATTTACCATTTTCCTAATTTCATCATTGAATAATGAGTGTGATAAGATGCTAATGTTTTTTGCTATATTGTAAACATTTGAAAAAGAATAGCACTCAAATATTCAAAAATTTAAACAATCATTCAATAACGAATAAAATATTGTAAAATTCCCTAAATAAAAGATGACAAGAATAACGAGCTGATAATAATAGTAATTATTGCAATTGTACAATTCGAAATGCAACATTTCAATTTTATGCTTTTCAAAATTTTGATTTCATTGCATTTTGTTTCTGTATTTGGAATATTATTTGTGGAAGAGAAAAGGAAGATTAATGCCTTCAAAAATTTGCGCTTTTATTGATAAGCACAAAACATGCAATGCTATTCATTTTGTTGGATTAAATGATAGCTTTTCATTTTATTCTAACACATATATCTCTTATTTCCATTTCTTCTTATCGTTAGCTTTTTTCTATTTTATTCCACAAAATTACGAATTTTTCCTAAAATAGCTCAATATTTAAATACAAGGTCTACTTATATGTTTGCTTTATGATTTATTAATTATTGTAATTGTAATTTTACAATAAAATGAATGATATTTTTTACAGATGCGCAAGGCGCTAATGCGGAAGAATTGCAAGAGAAGTTACAAGCATTGAATCGTCTTATCGAAATTGTTAGTTTCTTTTTTTTCTCTCACTATTTCGATTTTCAATCGATTTCACAATTTATTAGAAAAGAAATTTGCACAAATTTGAATTCCAAAGAAAAACAACTATGGTAATATGCTTAAGTTGATTCATTTTTGTATCTTATCCATGAAAATAGAATTCAAAAAAGAAAAAAATAAAAATTGCATGAGTAATAAAAGGAATGGTATGAAAATTTTTTCAAACGTATATCTTATATGATAACAATGTCCCACATAATTTTGCATATTAATAAAACAGTAAATTTAAACTTCAAAGAAAAACAGCTGTGGTAATAAGTCTAAATTAATTCATTTTATAATAAATATTCCTTAGCGTAAATATTTTAGTAACTATTTCTTAGTATTTCAATAAGTATTTCTTAGCGTAAATATTTCAATAAGTATTTCTTAACGTAAATATTCCTATAAATATTTCTTAGTATTTCAATAAGTATTTCTTAGTATTTCATTAAGTATTTCTTAGCGTAAATATTTCAATAACTATTCTTTAGCGTAAATATTTCAATAAGTATTTCTTAATATTTCATTAAGTATTTTTTAGCGTAAATATTTCAATAAGTATTTCTGAGCGTTTTTATACAATTAGGTATTGTTTGTTTCGTATATATATATATATATATATATGCACATATATATGTATGAAAATATTTTTTTTAAAGAGTTTAAGGCTTAGGAATTTAAGATTGCATGCTTGATTTTAAACGATAGGCGGATTTTTTCGCTGAATTTTTGTTTATTTAATGAAAATGAAACAGTGATAATTAACTATACATATGTTTTCTTTTGATTTGTTTCAATTCTATTAAATGATTATTCTGGAAATATTTGTGCTGATAAAATATTTGGTTAAAATTGTGTTATCTATGATAAAATTCAAAAAAGAAAAAATAAAAACTACACGAGTAATAAAAAGAATGGTATGAAAATCTTTTTAAACCCGTATAATCATAATGTCTCATATATTATGCATATAAATAAATAATTCATTATTAATTTATAATTTGAAGTCGATTATAAAACTTCCAAAGTACAAGTAATACCATTTTTTTATTATGATTCTTTAACAAATAGTTATCTTTTATTCTTTTTATTTCTTAATTATTCGCCATTTGTTGCTGCATATGTTACACACATTTTACACATACGTAAACTATACATTTATATTGTGCATTTTAACACTTACACGTATTATACCCGCAATATTTTGAATATAAGTTCGGAGCATTTTCAACTTTTCCTATTCGTTTCAATAAATTCTTTTCACTTAAGCAATTGAATTAAATCCGGAAAATAGAGTGGAAGAGAGAAAAAACTTTGGTAAAATTAGGTAAAATTAAAGTACAAAGTGAAAAAACTAAAAAAACTGGAGAAAAGCAGATAAATATATTAAACATACTTTTTAATTTTTTTAAATATTCTTTTTGTTATAAGCTTCTTTTTTTTTTTTTTGAAGAAAAGAAAAATGAAAAAGAAATGGGAAAAAAGCAAACAAACAAACAAAAATGCACTTTTGCAATTTTTATTTTTATTTTGGGTTATTTCAAGAAATGAAAACGAATCGGACAATCAATCTATTTTAGATTTTAACCAATTCATTTCAAATTTGTCAATTTTAAACGAACAAATACCAAAGAAGAAAAAAGAAAAATGAAAGATAAATCTTTCATTTTTTTTTCAACTTTTTATTTTTTTCTCGTTTCATTCTTCTTGTTGTATCATATCATCTTCGTATCTTATTGAAAAAAAAAAACTATTTTTGAAACAATTAAAAAGATAAAAAGAAATGGGACATAACTATGTATGTATATATGTGTTATCAACATATATTTTAATTCCTTATCATTTTAAATTAATTGATTGATGGATAAACATAGAATTAATTTCTTGTATTGTCAAAATGAGCTACAGTATTATCATATAATAGTGATAAATGGTTTACAATAAATGCCATGATTAATTGAGAACTAAGCCCTGTAATTTCTTTTTATTATAGTCCAAAATAGCGAGTTACAATATCATCGGATAATAGCACCAGATTGATTAATATTGAGCTACGAATGTCATCGAGGATGATTGCGCTAAATAGGTTATGGAGATATGATTAATCTAAGTTATCACCAAAATAAAAGTTATTGATGTCATCAAAGGTAATGCGCTAAATAGATGAAATGGTATGATTATCTAAGTTTTCTTATTTTTATAAAAAGTGGAATATTTCAAAAATACTTCCGCTATGACAAAATGTTTACAATTTCAAAACATTTCTATAATTTTTTTGAAATTTTAGATATAAATAATTGGTGCAAAAATATGCCTAAAATAAAGAATGAAAGTGATTAAATGTGAACATGAATTGAACTTTTTTAATTGCACAATTCAAATACACTTTATTGTCTTCCGTTTTTTTTTCTCCAAAATAAAAAAAAACTTTGGAAAATAAAAGTCCAAGAAAACTATTGTTATCATTATTTGTTGTCATTCATTTAATTGTTGTGTTTGGTCCCTTTTTTTTGCCTCGCACTTATTCAAAAAATATTTCAGTAATTTGAATGCAAATTTTTGGAAAAACAAAATTTTTATTTGCTTTATTTTTATAAATTATTTTTTTTGCTTATTTATTTTACAAATTATTCATTGCAGCTAGTTTCTTTTTCTTCTTCCATCCTTCATTCTTGTTAATTTTAATTTTTGAATGCATCAACTGCTGAAAGTTAGCGAAAAAAAAGGAAAGAAAAATTTGAATTGATCGAATGATTTTGGATGGTTGCTGGTGAAAGAAAATCGGTGACATAATAATTTACTTGCGATTTCAATTTAGTGGAAAGTTGTCTGCTGAAAGGAAATTAAATTTGGTTAAGACGGAAGATTTTATTGATAAACTTAGGCGAATTTATTAGCTGCTGCAATCATCAGCTCAAATATCGAAATCAATGACGATAGAATTCAGTAGTCATATCTTTCGAATTGAAAAAATAGAAATAAAGTGAATAACAAAACCAAAGAATCAACAATTATAATTTAAATTTCAACATTACAATCCAAATGATAAAATGAAGAAATGATTAAATGTTAATTATAATAAGATAATATTTGTAAGAATTTATAAGAAAAAATTAAATCAAACTTTGTAGTACACTATTTATTTTCTCTTTCTTTACATCATTTGTATAAATGAACTTATTATCTCTTTCATTTCATTTCATTTCATTCATTCATTCTTTCTTCATTTATTCATCATTTCCTTCATTAATTTATTCATTCACTCTTGTTGTCAATAATTTCTAAAATATCTGTAAATATGAGCATTTAATGGGATATTTCATTTCAAATAAGAAACTTTATTTTTGTGTTAATAGGAACAGTTCACGGGGATATTGATTATTTTGCAAATAATTGATTCAATAATTTCTTTGTACAAGTCAATCTGAACCAAATAGATACCACCGGCATATCTTCAACACGAACTATACAAACATAGTCACTATAATAACCAATAAATGATTATTAATTACAGTATTGATCATGATAATGATCTGTAGATGAGTGATAATTCCAAGCTTGAACATAATAATGACTCATAAACAATTAATAATTGCGTTCTTGATCATAATTTAACCAATAAACGACTAATAATCTTAAAGTTATTCATGATAATGACTTATAAATGACTGATAATTGTTATCTTGATCATAATAATGGCTTAAAGACGATTGAAAATTTATGGTCTTCATCATATAATGACTCAGTCGTTAATATTTTTCCTTTGAAAATATCGATGTTTTCAGGATCAGTGGCAAGAACAACGTTCTCCATTAATACGTTGTAAGTTATTCAACCTTAAAATTAATTCCCTCATTAAGATAATGAATCGCAATTGAAACAGAAGAAAATAAAAACTGCAAAATAACTTACAATTTATATGGAGACAGACAGACAGAGAAAGAGAAAGAGAGACAGAAATCTAACTCATTAGGTATATTTTTTCTATTCAGTTTTTTAATTTATTTTCAGCAAAAATTTACTTTTCATACTTATTTCCTCCCCCCTCCCTCAGAAAAAAAAAGAAAACCAAAAAAAAAAGACAAAAAAAGCAAAAACAATTCCATTTAGAAGAGAACATTATTGTCAAAACTGTATTATTATTATTTATTATTATTATTATCATTATTATTATTATTATTATTATTATTATTATTATTATTATTTATTATTATTATTATTATTA